CACCCGAGGCATGGCCAGGCTGCCGCTGCCACCAGGAGGAACCAAAACCTGTCCCCAGGTCCCGACTCCACTAGATGGCAATCTCTTCCCATCTAGCAGGTGGGACGGCGCCGGAGCCATCCATTCTTCTGACTGCAGAGGGCTGGAAAAGCAACTGGTTTGCAGGGGATGTCCTGCACGGGCTCAGGGCATCGTGAAAAAAACACCACGTCTTCTCTTCAGCGTAGATGTGAGCTGGAAACCAACCCTGCAGCCCCACTCTCTGTGATCCTACACAGTCCGAGAAGGGACGTTTGAGCAGGGACATGCTGCAGCAGTAATTCCTTTCGTGTGGCGCCGAAACTGTGGCACTGAGGACTGGAAAGGCTGACAGACCTTGCAGCCATGCTGCTACAGAAAGGGGTGAGGAAGAGAGAAGCTTACGTGAAGTCGGGCAGGCTTCCTCGTCAGAGCCATCGGCGCAGTCCTTGTAGCCGTCGCAGACCCAGCTGTTCATGATGCAGGCGCCGCTGTTGCAGCGGAAGTGGTTGGGTAAACACGTTGGTGGGACTGATGTAGTAACAGGATGAACTGGGGAACCTAAAACACAATGTTCAGAGCTGACCTGAGATCCCCGCTCCTCTGAGCTGTGCCTGTTCCCAGCAGACTGAGAGCCACTATCCATGGAGAGAGGTAGGGAGCAGGCAAGGCATTGCAAGGCCAGTGTTTTCATCTGCATTTTATCTACGCAGCTCCTGATCAGGATTTTCAAAAACACAGAGTAAAAAGATGTGTGAGAGTACACACTCAGCCTATTCACGGGGGATTTTCAGAGCCACGGGGGCTGGCGCAGGCTGTCCCAAGCAGCCCTACGGGAAGTAGTGCAGTCTTTCAGCGTGCCACAGCCCAGCCTCAGCCAGGGCTGCCGTGAGCCGAGCACCGTGTGCCCTTACCCTCACAGTCCTTCTCGTCGGACCAGTCCCCGCAGTCGTTCTCAGCGTCGCACTTCCACCGGTTGGGGATGCAGTGCCCGTTCCCGCACTGGAACTGGTAGTACCGGGAGCAGTTTGGGGCCTCTGTTGGGTTTTCTGACAACGAGACAAGAGTCCTGTGAGCCCCAGCATTATCTCATCAGACACCCTATCTCTTTGCCTGAGCAGCAGAGGCAAGGTCCTTTCTCCAGCATCCCCATTCCTCACAGCCCTCACTAGCCTGTTGCCACCTGTCATGGCTGTGTGCTGGGTGCTTTGTGGCCAGACATCACCAACGATCTCGGAACCAGAGCTGACAGCAAAATTCAGACAGAGCATGGCAGAAATGCAACTCTGAAATGAAGACGCAGCTGCTTTGGCTGGGTACAGCTCCTACAGCTACCCAGGGAACGGTGGTAAATATTGAGCTTGGCTGAAAACTGCCTGTCTGCTTTCGGCTGGGAATCCATGGTATAAATACGGTCACGTATGACTTAGTCAACTGCAAGATGTGCCAGCTGTATTGGATTTTCAGCGTGCTTTGCTTTTTTGACCTACCTGCAATATGAGGAAAATTATACTGATCTGCACGTACAACCCTCCATGATGTCCAAGTGGAATGCTACACACACAGACCTATACGTATGTACACAAGGGCTTATGTGAAACATGAAGAGGCCAGTACTCTGCTTCTGAAATTCAAAGGAGGCTGCAGCTATGGTGACAAGAGACCCTGAGGTACTGCTCACCACAGTTTGCTTCATCGGAGTAATCGCCACAGTCGTCCATCCCATCACACTTCCACACCAGGCTGATGCACACACCGTTCTGGCACTGGAAGCTGAACTGGTCACAGGTCCGGTGGAACTCAGGGTCCTGGGCTGCAGGGCAGCACAAAGAGACATCAGAGATTTAGTGTAAAGATTAAGGGCTTGAGGGAAGCTCATCCTTGAGGAGGAAGGCGTGAGCACACTCAAGAGGCAGTAATGGATTAAAGCAGAGCATTACGGTCCAGAGCCACCTCTTAGGAGATCTGGCAGCTTCCTGGTATCCTGGGGAATGCACTCACCTCTCCACGCCTGTGTTTTCATTCTCTATCCAACCCTCTTTTTGCAAAGATGCACAATATCACACTTACAGCAGCCAGCATAGTTGGCATCTTCGTCTGAGCCATCTCGACACTGGATGATGCCATCACACACCATGGAGTGAAACAAGCACTGCTGCCGGTTCTTGCACACGAAATCCATGTAGCGAGTGCACAGGGGTTCTGGAGAAAAGGTCAGGAGGAGAGAGGATGGCACCTCTGCTGTCCTTGGCAGCAGGAACGCTACCCTCTGTGATCTGCACAGGCCTGAGCACAGTGGCCAGATTTCAGGAAGTACCAGAGAGTTTGCAAGACGAATTGTTAGAGCTGTGTCCCTGTGCAGGTCAGTAATATATCAGGGTGCAAGCGAGGCTGGCACAGGCATCAGGAAGGGTTTGATCACCTCCCTGAATACAGCTCCTGACAGCTCGTCCTCCCTACCCGTCGCAGCCCTGCTCACTGCGCCTTTTGCTGACACTGGCAGACCAGCCGATTTCCCAGGGGGCTCGTGAATGCTAACTAAGGCTTTCCTATTATCTCAGTGGGGCTTTTCTCCCGGAGGGACAGGCTTTGGCAGACCATGAAGGCTGCCGGGGCCCCGCCAGCTCCCCGCAGCCCCGGTACTCACCACAGTGCTGCTCGTCTGAGGCGTCAGAGCAGTCATTGATGCCATCACAGTGTTTGCTGGTCGGGATGCAAGTGCCGTTCGGGCACTGGAAGCCGTTGCACTTTTTTTCTGAAATTCATAATTGGGTGAACGTCTCATGGTTGTTTTGGGTTGTTGTTTTTTTTTTAAAAGCCGCCTTTAGCTAGCTAGAAAAAGCCCTGACCCCGCGGCAGAGCCCCCTCCGCACGTTACCGCAGTTGGCAGGGTCCTCGTCGGAGCCGTCCTGGCAGTCGGCGTCGCCGTCGCAGGCCCAGCGTTGCGGGATGCAGTGGCCGTTCTGGCACTGGAAGCTGGAGGCCTCGCAGGTGTGATATACTGCTGAAAGCAGAGCGGGACCGGGGGAACACCACCTGAGCACGAGGTGCTGCCGTGCTTGCTCACAACCCTGCTGTGCCTTTAGGATGGCTCTGGGAGGCTGGCGAGCCCTCCCAAAGTGCGTCAGGAGTCCCTCTCCCTTTTATCTCAGTCCTTTGGGTGTGTGGGCAAACGTGACAGTGGTGGCGTCTTGCTGGAGGTGGCAAGAAACATCACAGCAAGCAAGCAAGCCTTGCTGGAGTGGCAGGTGTCCCCCGTGCAGCACAGGACAGACTCAGAAACAGCCTTGAATCAAGGCAGGCCAGGCTCCGTGCTGCCAAAGCAGATTAGAAATACAGTTCCCCTTGGGTTTCCAAGGGAGTAGGGTCCTTGCTTTCCTTAGGTTCCTGTCACAAAAATACCTGCCTGTGGGGTATCTTCACTGAAGCCTAGTCTATCTTGTCACTTTAGAGACAAATATCACTCCTCAACCAGGAGAACACTCGCTATTATTGAGAACAAAAGTGATGTTCAACTTAATTAAATTGCATGCTACTGAATTTTAGGTTTGCGAGCGACATGCACTTGCAGATATTTCAAAATACTACAATCTTGTGGCAGTAATATTCTATTAGGTATTCAGCGTGAAATGTAATTATTTTAGATAAGAGTAATAATTGCAGCTGGTGAAGTCAGATGAAATGTTTCTCAAATAATTGTGATCCTCTTAGATAATTTCTACTTCAGGCTTTACAAACCCGATATGCTTTTTGAAGTAGGTTCCTTTCCTGAGTAATTCTCTCTGGAGAAACTCATATGAGAGATAAGTGACACCAATATAAATTAAACCTTCTTATATAGCCATGCACTCAGAATACCAATGACCAGGATCCCCAGTGCCATGCTATAAACCCCCTGTGCTCGAGGCACAGCAAATGCCACAGGAGTGAACACACAGGAGCTTGGAGGCCAATGTCTTGCAGCACCTCTGGCTCTAAGTAATGAGTGTTTGCAGCGGGAGGTTATTGATCACATCCAAGTGCTTACCAGTGCAGTTTGCTTCATCTGACCAGTCCCTGCAATCGTTATCACCATCACACATCCAGGAGAGACGAATGCACATCCCTGAGCTGCAGCTGAATTCATCGTTTCTGCACTGGTGAGCCTCTGCAAACAAGCACACACAGTTCATATGTTGTTGGGGCCGGAGGAGAGGAGGAGGAGGAGGAGGAAAGCTTCACGTGGGCAACAGCCAAGGAGAGGAGGCAGCTATCTCAGAGGCGACAGTAGATTTGTTTTGAAAGCATATTTTTCTGCCTTGTGCTTAACCCTGAATGACCAAGAACTACTCCCCTTTACCAGCCTCTTCTGTCCTTCAGATCAGCACCCCACCTCTCCAAATGGCTGAGCTGGAGCTGGATGGCCACTAACACGGCACCGCTGAGCAACCCGTGCCTCCTGCGCACCTGCTGGGCAGCTGACCAAGGTCAGCTCGTCATCTCTGCCAAATATTTGTCTTTGGGTCACTGGAGTACCCACAGAGCAGAGCAGGGAGAGCTGGATGACAACTGCACAGAAGCCTCCCTGCCAGACCCGAGTGAGGGGGAGAACCAGCACGCGGTGCTCCTCCCGTCCCTCGTTTTCCCATAAAGGATGGAAGAAGGCCGGGATAAACAGGGTGATCTGGTGAAGCACTGCCCAAGAAGCACCTTGCCCAAAACACTGTTGGGCTTTCTGCCCTTACGCAGGGAGAGGGAAGGAGGTTTGAGCGAGGGCACTCACCACAGTGACTTTCGTCGCTGTTGTCGCCGCAGTCATCCTCCAGGTCGCACTTGTAGGACAGCGGGATGCAGGTCCCCGAGCCCTGGCAGCGGAATTGGGTGTCGGTGTCGCACACGGTGGTGGCTGATGCAGCAGGGAGGAAGAGGAGGAAGAGGTTACGGTGGTGGCTAGAAAACAGTTTCTGCAATGAACTCAAACTTGGACTCTGCTGACTGATATCTCAATATTGGCAGAAAAATAAGCTTCTTCTCAGTACCCAACAGGCAAATGGCATCTCTCCAGGAACATCTGGTCCCCTGCTGATTCCTAAATTCAAGCTCTGAGTGTCTACAACAGGAACTGAGCTGCACCCCCAGAGCACCTACTGCTCTGTGACTACAAAGGGAGCACAGACCATCGGGCTCAGGTGCAATGACACAGCAGACATCTAAATTTGGACGGGCAAATGTCACTGCAGGACACTTACGGCAGTTCTTCTCATCGCTCATGTCCCCACAGTCATTATCGTTGTCACACTGCCAAATGCTGTTTATGCAGTTCCCATTGAAGCATCTGTACTGGTTTGGCAGACACGTGTTTTCTGGTGCAAAAGGGAAAACAAAAACAAGCTGGCATGAGGCAGGATGCTGCGCTTTCAGAAGACAGGCCATACTCCTCCTCGCCCAAAGGGCAGCAGAAAGGTCACGCCGACCTCCCACAGCAGTGGAAGCCTCCTCTACACATAAAGCAGCAGCAAGAATCAAGCAGGATTTTACCTTCCTTTATGCAGGTGTTGTTCTTCATGGCATAGCCGTGAGGACAGTCGCACCTCACCTCCCCAGTGGGCAGCACGGTGCTGGACACCCCCTCGGGGCACTTGCAGCTCCGGCCGTTGTTTGACTTGGGCAAGCAGAGCAGGCTGCAGGGCTTAGCGATGCAGGCGTTCTCCCCTGTTGCAAGGGCAGGGAGGAAGGGGACATCGTCAGGCCAGGTGGAGCTGCTGCGGGAAGCCCCATTTCACCTGCCATACCAGGCTTGGGGTTCAGAGCGCTGTTAGGAGCCAGCTCTGCCACGCCGAGTGCTGAGGCTGGCCTTAGAAATGCACAGAACCATCTGCTCTGGGGAGACTGAGGGCCTTAAAGGTCCTCCCAGTCTCTTGCACACTGCTGACTGGCAAAGTTCTTTGATGGTTTTATTCCTATCTGGAAATGAGGCCAATCCCTTTAGTGCATTCACCACGCAGGGACCGCTGCTATGTTACCACAACCGAGACCGATGACTAAGTGCAGCTGTAAGACTCTGGTGAGGTTTTTTTTGGTACAGCACTTTGCATGGAAAGGCCGTGGTGACCTAAACTATGAGGTGCCACCACAGCCGAGTGCCCTACGGGCCCTCTCCCCACACACTCCTTATGACAGCGCCTGAGCACTTCAAACCCTGCAGGAACAGGCATCTATTCGGTCCCATGGAACTTGAGCTGGCATGACCCTGTGGCCTGAGAACCCATGGAAAAGGGGGATGGACGTATTTCTAAATCGCAGGCAAAACCATCTGCGGACTCAGCGATTACCTGTTGTCTTTCCTCTGTAAAAGATTTTCATATCCATGATTCCATTTAATCGCCCGACTAGGATCTCAATTTTTGAGCCGCTGTTTTTGGATGCTCTGAAAATACTCAGCTGTGACCAGTCGTTCCAGTAGATTTCATTCTGAAACACAGGCTTTGTTCTTAGCGTGAGGGGCAGGGGTTACCTGCAAGCATCACGCTCGCTCCCACCCTCCAAAACCAACGCTCGATGTGCTCAATGCTTTTTTTCCCGACATGTACAACAACCTCCAAGCGTGCACACAACACACACCAACTGCAAACAAGCTGCCACGTGCATACCTTAAAGACAGCGATAGCGTAGGGGTGAGGGAGTGTGTCCAGGATCACAGATCTCTGCATCCCATTGAAATCAACCCTCTCGATCCTGTCCATATAGGCTTCGGTCCAGTAGATCCAGCGGTCGTCCACGGAAATGCCATTCGGCCACCGCACGCCCTCCGAAACGATGCAGCTGGCTGCTGACCCGTCCATGTCGCTTCTGTAAATGCCAGCTCTGGAGTCTCCCCAGTCTGTCCAGAACATCAGCCTGACAACAGGCAGAGAGGTTACTCGAAATAATAACAAAATAGCTCATCAAAAGGAAACGGGTTATGAAGCAGAGGTTTGAATATTTTACATTCCGTGTCTCTTGCGAGAGATGCCTTTGGAAAAGGAGCTCTTTGCAATTCTAATGAACGCTGCTGGCAGAGCTACAAGCAGCAGAGGGGTTTATTTAGCTGCAGGTTTTGTGGTGCGAGTGCAGCTGCAGGTTACCTTGCATTGAACTGCTTTGCCTCAGCAGCGGCTGTGGCAGAACTGCGCTCAGAAAGACGTAAATTGCACTTGGCTCTTGAATTCGAGCGTGGCTCTGTTTCTCACGCCTCATTGCAGCTTTCCCCACTGAGCAGACCAGTTTTACTGGTAGGGAACATTAACTACTAGTAGATATGGGTAGGAAAAGTTTAATCAAAAGGAAAAAAACAGTTTGTGATCTCTGCTCTGAGGCAGCTGGCACTTTGGTTGGGCACATGATGGCAAGGGTGGGCTCTGTAAGGCAGAACTGTGAGATGTACCCACCCGTGCCACTCCCGTCCCCGTATCGCACCCCTTGGAGCCGAGCATTGTAAAGCCTTCCCTGCAGCACCCTCCCTCACCGTTCCCCTGGGTAACACTAAGGCGCCTGAATACTTGCAACGCTTGCTTTCTTACCCATCTTGGGGAACCAGAGTGAGGGCTCTGGGACGTTCAAGTACTGAGGAATTGAGGACAGTGAGTCGCAGGTCTCCATCTGGATTGGCAACCTAGAGCGGTAACCAAAACCAGGAAGGGTGTGTTTGCTGTGAGCAATACAGAGGGCAACTGCACTGGTTCAAGTTACATGAGATGTGCAGCAGGTCATTACTGCTCCCCAATAAAACCGCTGCTGTAGGCACAGGGAGCGCTTAGGGTGAGGCAGGTGACAAAGGAGGGTAGATGGGTGTATTTGTTAACATTTCTATGGGACTGAGCAGGACTCTGCCTGCGCCTCATGCTGGCTGTGCGTACTGTGCAAGGATGTTGCTTTTCCCCCCCATTTCTGTTGTGCAATTCAGCCTCACCAACTGACCTTGGTTTAAGTACACCGGGCAGAATGTCATCACTCCTGTTTGCATTTAAATCCAATGAAGTGACAGGTGGGACGAGGGTCAGCGCTCACCAACGCCCCCCCAGCAATAAGACTTTAGGGCAGCACCCACCTTAGGGCTCAGCCACCTCAAAGATGCACTGACACGACCAGCACGGACGTAGCGTACCTCAATTTTGGGAATCCCGGCGTTGACCCAATACAGCAACTGACTGAGAGGTTCAAAGGCCAAAGCTTCCACTGTTTCCAGCCCAGTGCTTACGATTATTTCTTGCCCAGAGCTGCCATTGAGACAAAGACGCTGAAAAAACAACAAAAAAAATAGCAGAATAAAAGATGAGGGAATTCTGCAGCCCCAAGGTGAAGGCAGTCAGGCGTGCAGGGACAGCTCGGGGAGCAGGAGCACCCAAGACAAACAGTATTTCAGGGTGTGCACGTAACGCCTGCCCTGGTGCACGATGCCAGGGCTCTCCGCTCCCTGGCTCACCTGGATGATGTCGAGGGTGACATCGGCCCAGTACAAGCAGTTGTGGTCGTAGTCAAAGTCGAGGGCGACCGCCCCGCGCAGCCCGGCCAGGGGCAGCTCCTCGCTGACGCCGGAGGCCAGGTCGTAGCGGTGGATGGAGTAGCGGGTGGCGTAGAGAATGAACTCGTTCTCCTCTGCAAGAACAGCGGGTGCCTTGTTTAGATGGCTCTGGCCGTCTTTAGGCTACTCAAGGGGCAAAGAGGAAACACCCGGTGTTTCTTCTTAGCCCTGACCACGCGTTTTAGCACCTCCGAGAGGGAGGCAAAGGGGCTTTGTCTCCGCGGGATTAAGTTAACGAGAATGCACTAATAGCCTTTCGTGGGTCCCGTGCCCGGGAGCACACTGTGGCCCTTGTTTGTTCCAGGGGCCAAAGGAGGAGGTGAGGATGGCAAAATCTGTCGTGACCTCTTCCTTCCCACGTTAGCATGCCACCAATTAGAAGCAAAACACCGAGCTCCTGTTCCTCAAAAATCCCATTAAAAAAGGTGGGAGCGATGTAAATCCGCGAGTCCTAGGGGACACTGGCACCGCAGTGAATATCTCAGAGTGGGTTTTATTTCTAAATTGCGCCGAATCCAGCGTAATGGGATCCTGGTCCAGGACAGGGTCTCCTGGGCATTAGCACAGTACCGGTAAAGTCCAATAATGCTATTAATGAGTAAAGATAATGTCAGTAAGTAACTCTGGCTGTGCATCCCTAATGAGATTATACGGAGATACGAAACAGATACTGTACATGAAAGTGTTACCATGGTGCGAGCCAACACGTATCTGAGGACGATCAGCAAACACTCTGGGAACACAGCACTTCAAAGCCAAGCCCAGTGGGGACTGCAGGTTTGTTTTTCAGTCAGCAGGGCCCTTCTCAGCGTGACTAACACAGCTCTCCAAATAGCTCAAGAGGGCTGGGAGGGGTGATTAAAGTGTCAGGCTCTGAACGAGGGAACGCTAAGCACAGCGCTGGTGGAATTCCAGCAGTGGGAATGCTTCCTCAGGCCGCTTTGCACCTGGAATATCTTCTGCTCCCTCAAAAATCTTAGGATGGCGCAGGGAAACCTCACACAGCGCCAGCTCAGCCTCCTCATCCCTCACACAAGCCTCTTCCCGGTCTCAGGCTGGCTCTTGAGCTGCTGCGCGGCAGCATGCTAATCATGCAGCTCGTGACGGCAGATTAAATTAAAGCCGTAATGAGCAGAATGCAAATAACTTCAGCAGCACAGGAGCAAGAGACCATTTCAGTGTCTTGTATGTTTGAGAGAAGAAAATAAGGACAGAAGTGAAGTCTGGCACGCATGGGCGTGAGGACTAGAGGGCAGCCCCTGCCCCGATCTGGCTCCAACTAGCCATCGTTCCACTGCATACAGTGGCCTGGGTCAGGGTGGTACCTTCCTGAGGATTACTCCAGGATGAGGATATCTTTGATGTAACTCCTGTCTTTCTGGTTGGGTTCAAGCCTGCTACAGTGAGGGACCTGAGCAGGTCCCCAAGAAGCTCTCTGGCCCTGGACAGGACAGGAGATGGGTGGACTTGTAATCCACCGAGGCATTTCAGCCCCTGTGTCACCGGTTTTGTCTGAGAGCCCTCCGGGAATTTGTGCATAGTCCCTCAGGCACCAGCCAAAGGTTTTATGAATGAAGCCCTTGTGCCTGAAGCAATCCTGTACTCACCAGCTAGTGGGCAGGGTACCAGCTCCCCTTCGAGCCGCGACTCGATGTCTCCACCTGTACAAGTGTCCCCGGAGATCTTTCGGTAGCTGCAACATATACAGCCAGGCAGTTTATTTCATGGAAACCATTAACACGGCACCACGTGCAGCTAGAATAAGCGGCAGTACTTAAGTTACAAATTAGATGTTGCAATGTATGTCCAAACATGTAATTCGTTTACCGCCACTCATGGGGCGTTTCTGTGTGGGTTTCGTGGTTGCTGGGTTTTTTTAATCACCAATAGCATAAATCTTAGCATTTGGAAGATCAGGTTCCCCTTGCAAGTACAACACATACCCTCGAGTCTTCTTGTAAGTTGAGCCAACAGGGCAAGGGACTGGCGGGTCGTACGGTTTCCCAGCGAATTCAGGGTCAGGAACACAAACTTCTAACGATAAGTCGTCACTCAGTTTAAAGCCAAAATCACTGCAAGGAGTAGGAAGATGTAAGGAAGGATGGCAGAGAGGGAAAAAAAATGCAGCCATGCAATACTGTAACTCTGCTTTAATTTTGCATGCAAATTTTAAGAAGTCCATTCATTTATTATTAGTATTTAGCTGCATAATAGTATCTTAGAGCCAGACAGCTTCTGTCTCCAGGATGTTTCAAGAACATTTTGCAGATGAGCTTGCCAGTGGCCGAGCCGACTAGGGCAGACAAGGCAGCGAGGCATAGCTGAGCCAGCAGGCCCTGCAAACCTGGCTGCAAGCCCCAGTTCTCCAGCTAGCTGGCTTAGGTCACTGGTCTGTCTCTTGGCTTTTCCTGTCAGTGAAATGGGAGTTACGGTGTGTCTGTTCTTTGGAAAACGCCGCGGAAGAGGTTATGTCAATTTGATTTTCCAGGGAGCCTAGGGCTGAGATTCTGAGGCAGGAATCAGATCCCACCGGTTGCCGTAGCTTGTTTCCTAATCCAGAGAGTTGTGCAGTGTCAGTAATGTGCAAAGTGCGTAGAAAATGACACAGCAGGGCCAGCTGCATCCCTGTGGCTGAAGGGTCACTAAGTTTTTAAGTGCAGGATCTCTCTAAGCAATGGGAAATTGCCCGCCATCGTTTGAAAGAAGGTGATGGATTAACAATACTTTTCTCTTCTCTGGAACCTTTCAGAGGCTCCCAAAAGGCTCCAAAAGACATTAATTAAGTCTCATGTCCCATTATTAATGAAAGGATGTTTTCAGTCTATTTAGTTCCCTCTTTGCTATAAAACGAAGCAGTGATTCACAGAGTTAAGTAAATTAGATGTTTGTTCGCTTTGAGTGATTGGTCACAGATATTTATCTCAGGCTTACAACTCAGACTAAAAGAAATTAATTGGTATTTACCATTCAAAGTCTTCCCTTGTACAAGAGCAGTTGGAGACCATGACAGGCCTGTCAAAATCTTCCCCATTGAAACAGGTCGCATGAGGAGTCCTCCTTTTGAAAACGGTTTTATGCCCCAGTAGGCATTCATTGCCTCGCTCGTCGGAGGGTGACCACAGTTTGTAGTCGTTCTCGGTGCAAGGGACCCCTAAGAGAAGCAACAAGGTTGAGGTAAAGAGAGGCGTGGTCCTTGCGGCACCCCAGACCAAGGGCTTTGAAAGCAACGGAGCTGCAGATGTCCCTCGGTCACCGCTGCGTGCCCAGCAAGGATGCACCCAGGGTGCTCAGTGCACGCACCACAATAACGCCCCTTACCCCTCGATGCCCTGCTCTGGCACAAAACGAGCTGTTTCCCCCCCAAGGCACAACAATGAGTGGTTTTGCCCCTGACAGCAAGGCTCTAGCCCTGGCCTGAAAGAAAAAGCGAAGCAGAAAGCATTTCGGTTCAGAGCGCGCAGCCGCGCTCGGTGACAGGAGGCAGCAAGCAGCTCCGTGGCGGTGACAGGGAATTTGCAATGCCTCATTTAAATGAAGTGGTTCTGGTTACCAAACAGATCCGTTTCTAACAAAACGTCAAGGGAATCAGTTATAAATTTTAGTCAAGCAAATTCCTCTGCCGGGTTTAACTGCTCTTTGATTAAAACGCTGCCTTGCAATCAAAGCTGAAATGGGTTATAAAACATTCATAGGCATAAGCCTTCAGAAGGAATTCTTTTTCTTCCCCTTTTTCAAAAAATTTCTCGGTGCAGAGGGAGGGGACATGGGGGAGAGCACAGGGGACACGAGCGGCTTCAGCAGCTGTGTCCACTTTTTTAGACGTGAGGGAAGGGGCACCCGAACGCGGGTGGTGGTGCCTCAGCCCCCGCAGGAGATGCCCTTTCTGGCAGCGGGGCCAGTGTGCTGCTAAGGGAGACCAAGGGCATCTCTCTGGGGTCTCTTTTGGGAAGCAAGACAGAGGGCAAGAGCACCAA